CCATCTCTTATGATTGCCGTCAAAGTCAGACAAGGAGCGTTTAGATTTACGCTTTGTGCTCGCAGCTGCGACAACGTTGTCCCAGTAGTCGTTCTTGTTGGAAAAGTCTATCCTCATCTGTGTATCACCAGAATCGCGAGGAACGCGCCTGAAGTTGTAGTCGAAGGTCAGATCATATACCATTGGCATATGTGACGCTCGCTTCCGAAGATGGTGCGGAATCGTTTGATTGACAGCAGGGACCATGTGTTTCGCGACGGCATAGCGGCCGGCTCCACAGCCAGCTGGCATTTCCAGGATGGTACCGGGTACGCCGTGTCCAAGTCCGATGTTTTGACAATTATTGTTCTCTGAGCCGTCAATGCAAAACATCTGGATGGTTTGTTCTTCTTCACTCGGCCCGCCTTGGCAGTTGAACAGTTCCCAATGAGAGCCATCGCGTTTATCGAGAGAATGTTGCAGTTCTTTAGGCGATGCAAGCACGACGAATTGAAATGCAGCATTGGAAGGGTCATCGTCGGTCTTGTCGCCCTGTCCACCAAAGGTGTCGTCTACATTGAGCTCAAAGTCCGTATCGACGTCGTCCCCAGTCGGGGGATCGCTGAATAGCCGATCGAGTGGTACTGGAAGGAATAGCTGTTTACCATCGGTTGGGTCGCAGCAGTAGACTCTGTTTCTTTCCAGTCGAGGGAAGCAGGATTGCCCAAAACCATACGGGCTGTCCGTGAGTTGCACTTGCTTTCCGACCGGGCAATGGTTGTCGAAGCAAGATCCGGGCTCTCCGTACCACCGGCAGTTCTTCCAGTTCTTGGCGTCTTTCTTTGGGCAGCAGTATCGTTTCTGCATGTCGACGTCAATCGCTTCGAGCCAATCAACCAGAGCATTATCGATCAAAGTCATCGCGTCTGCAATGTCGGCAATAGTGCTTAGAAATGTGCCTGAAAAGGTCATCGTCGTGTCGTCGCCGTTGCAATCCTTGCCGACGCCTGCCCAGTAACAGTCATGACCCTTAGCCGCAGGTGACTCGCAGCAATATGCTTTGTTTCCGTCTTCACAGTATTTCCCATCACCCCACTTGTTCATCTGCAACAGTACCTCATTGTCATGGCAGCGGCCATTACATGGAGGTGCTTCGCCGCGCCAGTGGCACTTGTCGGGATCTGGTGCACTGGAAACTGGACAGCACAGCTGGCTGTCCTCGCCTTTGGACCTGCGCGTGACAGGCTTCGCGCCACCGCATGGTTGCTGTTCGATTTTGAAGAAACCAGCCTTACAAGTACCGCCACAGTCAGTGACATAGCAATCAGGTACGGTCGCATCGTCCCAAAAGGAAGCGTCATCGGCAGTCATCGCGAGGGCTTTGACAGATTTTGGAGACACGACGGCGTTGAGAGCGTCCAAATCATCCGTGTCTTGATCAATGGCCCAGATGAGTAGTCCGCCGAGGCCTAGCTTGTTCGCAAAGTCGATCTTCGCCTTGAATGTGTCTTTGTCATCATACGACACCCATTGGTCTTGGTTCCAGGTGATGTACTTGACTTGAGCCTCCTTGTCTAAAAGCACAAAAAGCGGTTAGCCTATCTATCACATGTGCTGGTTTCGTCGTGGCTGCTTACCATAGTAAGGACTGATCTTGTGCTGTTTGATCACTTGTTGAATCTCTTTGTATGTCAAAGTTCCTGAGTTGTCGGAACAGGGACCAGGAGATGCTCCGCCCTTGAAATTGCAGCCAGGTCGGTAGCAAGAGGGGTCTGATAACTGGAAACTGCGACCATAGAACCCCAGCCCGAGATTGAGCTTCTCTGGTTTGATGTCGTTGCGCCAGAAAAGATCCAAGGCTAACTTGATCTCGGTCAAGTTCGAATGCCCATATATATGATTGCCGATCGGGTTCGTTGAGTCCCAGATCTAGACACATATGTTAGCATTTGCTCGAAATAAGATGTTCACATGATCTCTGCATCCGAAACCCAGACCAGCTTACAAGCAGCTTGTGGGAAGGGCAATTCCGCAAAGGTGTGTCACCTCTTCAGCTCGGTGTCTGACCTTCCGACATGCACGAGTGCAGAAGCGGGAGGCAAATATTTGGCTTGACTTACTCCATGAAGATCATAGCTCATGACGTTGACGAAGTCGACGTAATCCACAGCTTTCAGATCAAAATGCCTCAGATACCAGAAGCTAGTAGGAACAGTGAAGGAGACAACATAATGCATGAGCTGCTTGTCGTTCTCCTCGTTAAGTTCCTTCAAGAACGTAACAAAGTTCTTGCCGTCTTCAGGCTTACCCCCTCGATCGGTGGCTCCGGGATACTCCCAGTCGAAGTCCACACCGTCAAAGGCGTACTGTCTCATAAAGGCGAATAACTTTTTGATGAACAAGGCGCGATTCGCAGCGGTGCTGACCATGTCGCTGAAGACCGGCTGAGTTGCGGTGCCGTTATCGTTGAAGGTCCAACCGCCAAGAGCAATGACTGTTTTCAAGCCGGGGTTCGACTTTTTAACATCTGTGAACTGCGAGAATAGATCGGGGCTAAGGTCGTCCATCGGAACCAGATCAAAAGTGCCGGGCGAAATGTAACCGAAGGAAAAGTAGAGATGAGTAAGTGCGCCTGTTGGGATATTCTTGAAGTCCTGCGAATAAAATGAGTATGTTGCGCTCGCTCTTGGCTGGTCCGACGTACCATGCCTTGACATTTCCTGTCATGTGCCCAAGCTTCGTAGTAACCGATCACTATCTTCTGAACGTCGCCGCCAGAGCCACCAGAGCCTGGCTGCTCACAGTTGCTTTGGCATTTTGGTTCGTCTTCGGTGCCTTTGTCGCAGAACTTCTCGGTCATGCCGCAAAAGCTGTGGGGTGTTAGATAGTATCATCGAGAATCTTTTGACCAGCATACCCAAATTCTGAACAACAGACATTGAGTGGACATTTGGCACCAGGTATCTTAGCGTCTTTGCCACACTCTGCTTTGGCATCGCAATTTGACCAGCAAACATCGTTGGGACTTTGACCGTTTGTGCCGCAATATTCTTCACCATAGTTACAATATCCGGTAGCCTTTGGGCAGCAGGCTCCGTTCTTGCATGGCTTAGACTCAGAGCATGAATAGTCTTCTTCAGCTCTTGGCTGTAGAGCTCGTGGGGCCAGATGCGGACAAACAGGCGCACGTTCTGTATGCTTCTCTTTCGCAGAATAGTCAAACGGACTGGACTGAAGTTAGCTACGAATGCACCGCTTCTAACAGTGTTCATCTACATACTGGATTGGATTGACGCAAGTTGGTGGCGCGTGAGATCTCTTGTGGTGAAATCGTGCGTGCGACTGATGCGCTGTAGCAGTGATGAGCAGCACACAGAAGACAATGGCCCACCGTGCGAACGCGGAAGTCAATCTTGACATCTCGGCGTCTGATTCCACTGAAAGCAGTAGGAAAGAAACCAAGATCAAGGACTGGAAAAGAGCGATCTCAGAAGCTCCGTGGGAAAATGGACTCTGTCTATCTTACCGGTACCCACAGCTCAGGTACGTTGGCATCAAGGTTTCCATCTGGACCTGCCGTGGATCCAATGGACGCCTGAATATCAGCGGTCATCGTGGCGGCGAGTAGTAGGCGTGCAATTCGCGCCCCTGCATGCATGGCCTGGCCAACGGACTGAAATTTCCAGATTTGTACTGGCAGAGATGCCGCGGGAAGTTTACCATGCGGCCCAGATATGACATCCCATCTAAATTTGCGCTCTACTGCATTGGCGCCTTCGGGGTCGCTCGCTAAGACATCAAGAAATGATATCAGCTTTTACTTAGGCATTTCCTAAGTAGGAAGGACATAAGTCACGCTGACTGGGTGTCAGTTGCCGTCCGGCGGTCTCGACTGCAATGTTTAGTGAGCTATCATGTCTTCAGGTACTTCCGTTATGGGAGCAGTTTTCAGCGCGCAGTGCTGAAACGTAGAGGCCGTTCCCAGCGCCGGACGACCTCGGAAGTCTGTCCTTTTTGCCACGGAAGTGCCGCTCAGGTCAGAATTGCCCAGGGCTGAAGCGCGGTCGTACTATCAAAGCAACCATGACAACCTTGGGGCGGAGAGGAAAATTGAAGCGGTGGAGATGACAAGGACATAACCCCTAAACTAATGCTGAACGTCTGCCGGGCGTAAATATTTGGCACCTTACTGCAGGTGATCTTCCGGCTCCGAGTGGTGCCAAGCTTCATAGTTCGTGCTTGGCATCAGGCCTTCCGTCCGGATTCGGGCCGCGCCCGCCGCATCTTCAGGTCCCGCTTTTTAGCCTGTTACTGAACTGATTTGGGGTCTAACATGTTGCCAATACTTCACAAGACTTACACGACCCACAGCGGCGCCAGATGGATGATGAGAATGGACCCTTGAGATGCAGGTGCCGAGCGATCAGGTGCCCCATGCAGTGCGGCTGGCTGTAGGGCACGCCCAGGTGCTTTCTTGCCCCGGTGTAGAATGCGGTTGAAGCATCCTGCATCGTCGCTCTTGGTTGCAGTTATTCCTGTGAGTACGTCTTTCGTGGACCGTCGCAGACTTCCCACAGGACAATACTGACTCTTACACAAGAATGCGTTCGCATAGTCCCAGAATGTTGCTGCGGCTTTTGCTACCCCTTTGGTATCTCCCATCGACAATTGCGATACCCTTCTTCAGTAACAATACTATCCCATCCAATCTGACCAGTGATTGTGCGACGGCCCTTCTTACAGACGTTGAACAATGTCCTCCTACCGTTGCTACCTTTGCTATTGGATATTACTACCCTCCTTCCGTGCTGGAAAAAGCATGCACAACCGCCTGCGTTACTGCCCTTGAGCAGTACGAAGCAAGCATTGCCACAGCTTGTACCGGGCAAACTTGGACGGCATACGATGAGATTGACGGTGCACCACTGGACATAATTGCCAATGTTATGCGATTCAACCACGATCTTGTTTGCCTCAAGGACGCGGGTCGCTGGTGTAATGTAGTTGCGGTTGCTGCAGCCATGCAAGCAGATCCAGGACGTAGGTAAACCGATACTCCAATCCCAACATTATGCTAACCAGAACAGAGAGCCCAATAGGCTGGGACACCGAGCCACCAAGCGGCGTGCAAGCCTCCGGACCCTGCGATTTGTGTTTCATCAAAAATCTGCAAAAGCAGGCTGGCAGTCAGTACTACGACGGACCTCAGATTCGAGAGAGTTCCTTGTACGAGTCAAAGACATCAAGCTGTGGTGTGACGGGCTACCCATTGTCTATCTCGTCTTTACCCTTCCCGCAGTGAGCATACACATATATATGTTCGCAGCTCCACACTAACTCTATACAGGCTTCCAGTCGCTAGTCCCACACCGACATCGACGGTCTGCAGTGGCAAGGAATACGACATCCAGACCGGCGATGACTGCTACAAGATATCCAAGTCTCAAGGCATAGGGACTGCCTGGCTGCTTTCAGACAATTCTCTCACTGCCTACTGCGCCAATTTTCCACAAAATGGCAAACTGTGCATCAAGAACACATGCAAAGTCTATACAGTACAGCCTGCCGATACCTGCGAGATCATGGCTAGCTCCAATAATATCACCATCGCGCAGTTGAAGGCCTGGAATCCGGTAGGTGCACAGTGCGCAGATCTCGCTTCTTTACCATTATTCTGACATTCTCAGATCATTAACGCTGGCTGTCACAACTTATACAAGATGAACGGGACTTCTATTTGCGTGTCCAATCCTGGCGTAGCATATGTCACGCCCCCAGCTATGCCTCCTCTGGCGCCAAGCACAGCCGTCAGCGCAGCACCCGTGCCTACCAATGCGAAGGACGAATCGAATCGACAATGTGGGCAGTGGTATAATGTTGAGAGCGGAGACTATTGCAACCTCGTGACACTGAGGTATGCAATAGCACTAGCTGATTTCGCATTTCTGAACCCATCCATCAACGCGAATTGCACCAATCTGCTGCTAGATATCAGCTATTGTGTAGCGCCAGTAGGAGACAGTGAGTGTATTGATACGCTAGATGATCGAAGTTTGCAGCTGACCAACTGAAGTTAACACCTACTCTGGACGACCTGGCTACCATACTCCCGGTCCTTCGGGGGTACCATGTAAGTACTTCACTTGGCACTCTATGCGTCGCATACTGATTGTGACCCTCCAGTCACCAAAGTCACGTTTACGCCCACTAAGCCCGCTACGACAACACCCTCGCCCACGCAGCTGAGCCTTGCGCTTGATACAAGAGACGATTGCTACCAGTATTTCGAGGCATCACAAATGGAAAGCGACATAACAGGAACTCTTTATCGTCACCAATGCGATTTGGCTGCAGATATCTACGGTGTAGAGATGTCCGAACTGCTCACCTGGAATCCCTCACTCGGGAACGACACCGAAGCGTCTACTTGCAGCTTCGAGCCTGGAGTCCGCTATTGTGGAAGGTTCTATTTCGAGCCCCCAAAGGCCGACCCCGAAGTAGGCCCATCGCTGGACTTTCCGATCAGAGAAGGGTATGATACGAACTGCACTGAGTTCAGGGACGTGTCTAAGGATTTCACTTGCGAGGATGTTCTGGCTTTGTTCGATCTCACCTTGGCTCAATTCTTCAAGATGAATCCGGCTGTAGGCTCAACGTGTGCGAATCTTTGGACTGAAACGGCATATTGCGTCAAGTCGCCCAACGCTCCACCGCCCGCTACGAGCGTTACTTCGACCTCAGTTGCCCCAAGCAGTACAGTTCCACCGGGACCTGGGGCACCAACGCACACTGGACAGCCTGCAAACTGTGTTCGATGGCACATCGTCGAGAAAGGGGATGATTGCTCGATTCTCGCAAACAAATACTTCATCACCTTGGAGCAATTTTATGCCTGGAATCCCGCCGTGTCGAATGATTGCCGCGACAACTTCTGGCAGGGATCGGCATACTGTGTGGGCACTTCGGATTCGATCAGCGTGAGCAGATCGGCTCCCCCGCCGTCGCCTACTCCCAGTCCTTTCGTCATACCAACGCCAAATCAAGCAAACAACGCGATCAAAGAATGCAACAAGGCTGCTCAGGCGCAGGAAGGAGACTGGTGTGCTGTAAGTCCACGATATCCGGTTCTGCGTCGCTTCTAGACTGACTCTTATCATAGTTGTTTGCTGAACGAAACGGAATCACCGACGCGCAACTATATGCGTGGAATGCAGCCTTGGATAATGGCAATGCTTGTGGCACTTCTTTTTGGAAGGATTACTGGTACTGTGTCGGTATAGCCGCGTAAACAGACATGTACAAACGCGATGTGCTACACTCGTCTCTTGTAATGTTGTTCTTGGGGCAACGTTGAGCTGTCTGCGCAGACAATGCGCTTCATGGTAGCCAGAGATCATACCCCATCACGCCTTACATATATATCGGAAGGGCTGGTACCGCCAAATGAAGCCTCCCATTTCCATATTTTTATTTCCTCGGACAAGTTGAAAATGACGGTATTGTGTTGGTGTCGGACGATTCTCGTCGGCCATCGCTTGTTCAGTAGTGATTATCGCACTGGACTGTTGTACATGAAGCCCCGTCTTCTTGAAATAGGATACACGTGCCCTGTGACTATCTTTGGAGGCCTACACGTTAGCATCTTTGAAATCACTCGCCGCGCTTGCGCAACATAACCTTGCATCATCATAGCTTGGTGTGATTGCGCTGCAGCGAACGGGCAGACCGTTAGTCTGTTCCAAGGTTCAGAAACCCTGCTAGCGCCTCGGGCCTCCCGCGTACTTATGTACTCAACAGCGTTCCCGCAACAATGGTGCGCTCACTCCCCTACCTCAGTCGCGTCATGGACAAACTACCACAAGAGCTGATCAACCGCATTGTGTATTTCGCAGAGCGTTACCCAGACCAGGAACAGCGGGCTTCCGCGATAGGACAATCTTTCGAGCCCGATGGTTCGCCATCTCAATTTCCTCGCCTCGCGATCCTCAATCGCACTTGGAAGGAAGCAGTTGAGACCATTACATTTCACCGTCTAGGCATCAAAAGCGATGAGCTGGAATCGCTTCAGTCCATCGTAACAGGAAATCGCCGCAACTATCTTTCCTGGATCAGTTTCGAAGCGGAATTGCCAACATATTCGGAAGAAGCATACGAACACAAGGAATCACGACTTGATCAACATGCCAACAACGAGGCATTTACAAAAGCTATAAGCGAACTTTTCACGGTGCTGCGAACCTGGGAAGACAACGGTGTGAAGAATGGAGTGCGGCTTACAATTGCGGGAGCTACGTGCCCGACCGACGCTCGGGAAGTGGATGAGTTCGAGATTGAGCATGGTCTCAGCAGAGATATTCAGTCCGCTCGTTGGGCAGAATCGTACCTGCGCCTTGTTGAACCCGACAATCTACCTACATTGTCTAATCTGCAGCACCTCACTATCGAGCGCACCGGCGTGCGAAGCCTTGCACCAAGCGTTGCACCAGATTTAGCAGTGGCAATGCCAGAGCTCAGGACAGTGGACTGGGAGTTTCCAGACTACGAGGCTGGTTCTGACGCGGGGTCGGATCAGGACTCGTTGGATTCAGACTATGATCCAGAGTGGGAATCGGCGACATCTCCCAAGGCGCGCGGTGAGGCGCGCGCTGAATTTGCTAATAAGCTCTCGCCGACACATTTCCGCTCACTCCATTCTGCCAACATTGTCTTTGTACACTGCACTCCTTTAGATCAGAGGTATACAGTTCCGAGCATTGTGCCAGAAGGCTACACATACGACCCGTTCAGTTCATCAATCCGAACCTTCTCACAATGTCTTACAACCCTTACCCTGAGTGCGCACGTCGACCCTACGCTATTCTGGCCATCAGACGAAAACGCGACGCCACCGTCTTGGCCACACTTGAAGTCCTTCGACATCACGTTTGACATGGTCGCTCCATCAGGCAAATGGTACTTCACTGGTGCAACACCGGTCGACGATCCCCACGACGACGCCGTGCGCGGCATTGTTGGGAGTGTCGATACGCGCGAGTTCAGCTGGCATGACTTCCGGCAGCACCCCGACCCAGAAACCTTTGATCCTTTTCTCGGCGCGCTCGCAAAAGCCGTTGATTGCATGCCTGTTCTTGAGTCCCTCATGCTTACGTCTGAGATGACGGGTAAGACGGGGAGACTGCACATTTCATATCACGCGCCGGGCCAGAAGGCGGAGTGGGGTGATGAAGGACCGGAGGATGAACAGTACAGGAGGATTTACTACGCGTGTGAGACGGGAGTATGGGTACCAGAGCCAAAGACTTCTGAAGGGCTGAAACGCGCGGGGATGCAAAGGTACGGCGGGGAGGCCATCGAGCGATACGTGGGAAGCCAGTACTATTGAATGGGATTAGATCGAATACGCACGAAAGAATATACACCCCATTCAAGTGGAGCATCATACACCTATGTCTACAAAGCCCAATTGTTGAAAAGGCTGAGGAGGCCACATTGCCTTGACAACCCACAGAGTGAAGGTCTTACGGTGATGTAGGCTTCAGGGTACCTGTTCAACTTTTCTCTTGAACGGGATGTACGTATGGACGCGGGTATGGATTTGCTGTGTGGTGTGGAGCTCGTATCAAGTATATAGTTTATTTTCTTCCCCATTCTTTTACATACGACCATAGGACACTGAGAATTAGGCTTCCCGTCCGCTCAGCTATATACAAGCAGTGTACCGGCGGATTAGTAGTTAGGTGGGTGACCACTAGCGAATCCCCGCTGTTGTATGTTTTTGCCCTCTTTTTGCCCCAGATCTGAAATGGCGACTCTCGAACTCACAGCTCTCTTTTTGCTCGAATGTGGTACGCGGGCGTGTAGTGCGGAACATCACGGTCGGTCAAAGCACACTAATGGAGTTGCGAGTCGAATAAGCTGCGCAGTTGATATGAGTTTCTTGTGTACTCTATGATACATTTTAACTAAGGTTGTGACAAAGTCCTAACGGTGTGTGTGTAGGGCTCGTTTTAACTACATACGTAGATAGCGCTGTAGGCTGCAGCAAATATGGCAGTAGTGAACAGCTTTGTTGCGATATATGCCCAAACCAAACGTTGTTTGTTATTGAGGTCGACGTACGCTCGGGCGGCATGTCGTCGCTGTATAGTCGTGGGTTTGGAGACCTCTACCGTCACGTCCGCACCACCAACGCGCGGGTGTCGTGGAATCGCTAGCTCGGGCTAGAGAAGCAGCTGTCTCAGCTTGGGAGTTTGTGTGGCTATCCATAGAGTAGCTCTTGCTGCATGTGTCCTCAAGTCTCTCCCTTCTTCTCTCCCTGCGCATCGAAGCCGAGGCCCTCTAGTTGGCGTATGAGCTCGTTGATCTTGATGACCTTCTCGAACTGCTCCGGTAGCAGCTTGTCGCCCTTGTCCTTCTTGTCCTTTAAATCCCTGGCCTGCCTCAGCTTCTTGGTGAGCTTCTTCGCTTCCTTTTCCTTCTCAACCTCAGGGTCGACAACCTTCTCAGCCTCGGGCTTCGCGACCTCCTTCTCTTTAATCTCAGCCGCTTTGCCTGCTTCTTTGGGCTCAGCAGAAGCTTCCTTGTCCTCATCTTTCCCATCACCCGCAGCGGCGGCTGCCTTCTTTCTAGCTTCCCTCCGCTTGGCGTTCTTATTCGCAGCTGGACTCGATATGCTAGTAGGCTCCTCAGTTTTCACCGCCTCGGCACCTGGCACGCCCGCCTTTCCTCTGTTGCGGAAGCCCTCAGCAGTGCGATTCTTGTAGAGTTCGACATCTTCGGGTGGGCGGTAGCCTGGGCGGACTCGGATTTCTTTGCGCAGGGTGCCGTCGGGACGGACGGATGCGGGGATATGGCGTTCGCCAGATGCGGAGGTGGTGATGCCGGCTTTGGAGATTGCGGGAGTCTCTACTGAAGGCATGGTGTCGGTCGCGCCTGCGGTGAGGTAGAGTGGAGGTAGGGTGCGCCAGAGGATGTCAGGCAGTCGCAACAGACCGGGGCACACCAATCGTCTTGGTGAGACCTCGCCAGGTCTTTTCAGGCGTCTGCGAGGAGATTTGAGGAGTTATTGGTGCGTGTCGCAGAGGTTGAGCTGGTAGCGGTGGTGGGGTTGGAAACAAAGTTCACGTCAAAGCGGAAGGCACGACGGGCCAATTAGCGCAGCGCAAATCCCCGTGACGCGAGAGCTTGAATCTTGTCGACGAACCTCAGCCTTTGACATCGCCAGTGAAGCACCACCACATCCCTCTCCGCAGTCAACCCAGCCCTCTCGACACGTCCAAAATGTCTGGCGTAAGTGAATTGATCGGACAACGTCTTTGAATGCTCGCTAATGGTCCCGCGCAGATGATCGGCACCGTCTACAAGCAAGTCTCTCCTCGCGCACACCTTGGATCGAACGAGACTAACCATCGCCTGCAGCGCGGTCCTCCGCAGCAACACCACCATGTTGTTCGCCGTCTTCGGCTCCGCCTTCGGTCTCCAACTGTAAGCCACGGCATCCGGAAGAGGAACCTGGGGAAAGGAGAGAGGCTGATAGCAGTGCAGGGCGTTCGACACAGGCTCAGAAAAGATCTGGAACGGTCTCAACCGCGGCGTAAGTCAGCCTGTTATCGTGGACATGGCATTCGCTAATACAAGTCACAGCGCCAATGGAAGGACATCAAGCAGCGATACATGGAGGCCGCCGAGGACGACGAGTAGGACATCAGCCATACCTCAGTTCGAACATGAAATAGACACTTTCTTACGGTTCTTTGGAGCGGACACTGTACATTGTGGTGTATACTACAGCATGCGAAATACCAAGGCGATGCGACCTATATCCCATACAAGAAACCCCGTCAACATGATTGCGTTTGATGGTGTGTCATGGAAGTTCCAACTTGTGACAAAAGTCTGGTACATGTCGAATAGATGATTCTAGAATACAGACAGATCAGGGCTGCATCAAACAGACCATTTGCTACTACTAGTACATGGAGGACCATGATCAGGCTATCTCGAACAAGGAGCAGAATGAACTTGTGTATTGAATAACTGATGTCTTTCCATGTGACAGCAAGTGACCGAACACTCAAAGACATTGACTGCCTTTGTCGACCCGCGGAGTTTGCAGTCGGCTGCTTGGTGGCGTCGCGCGTGCCTCGGGGGTCCGCGCTGTTTCACGAGATGATGCTCGCAATGACATAGTAGCGCGCATCTTACACCTGCACCTGCTGCTTTCTCTTACCACACCGAGCCTTCCACCAACCCAAGACTCACCCCAGTGGCTGGCCCACAAAACCAGCA